ATCATCAGACTAATTGAAATCTACAAAACATCTTCATAGGAACTAAAAGTTAAACTGAACATCAAATATATATAAAAAAGCATATAACCAACTAGGCTATCAGATTCATTGAAAAAAAAGAATACAGAAGTATATCATACCAGGTTATCTGAATTGGTAGTCTAAAAAAGATTGTCAGTTTTAAGTTGTAGCTAGTAAGAGATGATGAAGAAGATGCTAAGAAAATAAATACTAGGATTCTAGTAAGCTTTACAAAAATAGTAATAGTATAACATAATGATTAAACAGGTAATCCTTATGACTACAAGTATTAAATAACTATAGTGTATTGTATAAAACTAGATCTATATATATGGGATATAAAGGTTCTAATAAGTTTTTTGTTAAGGATAAAGTAGTCCTAAAGATAATGATCAGCATTAGAAACTTGAATAGGTATAGTCTTAAGATGTTCTTATGATACAAGAAGGATTGCATATGCAGAAGGTTTAAATAAGCAAGACCCCTAGTTGGCTTGCAAGTATGACAATTAGTGTAGAACTTATATAGCAATATATAAGCAAACTACTTAAATTAGGTACCAAAAGTGCATATATAACTAGTTGTAACCTCCAATGTATAGATAGTCCCTAGAGGCATGCCATGTTTTATAATACTTGAATAAAAATGTTATATTCTCAAGACAGGAACTTTAACTATAAAAAAAAAAAAAAAAACAAAATCTATTAATAAAAGTACTAGTTATACATATAACTTTAATCATTATCTAATTAAAAGTTCTACCTATAAGTTACCTACTAGATATTATATCTAAAACCTGTCTATAGATTTTTTATTTAAACTTTTTGATTGTTAATACTTATTTGCATATAATACAATATTTATATTACTATTATAGTAACATATTAGGTTAAGGCTATCTAATTCTATTTATATTAAAATATTACCTCATTAGATATTACTAAGTATCTATAGTCTTTAAATTTATTCTTGATACAAACTTACTAAATATAATATTAAGATTATCTCTTAAATCCAATTTAGTATATCCTGTATCTACTAAACCAGTTTTAATATTAGAAGTGTTTGAATTTTAGTAAGTCTATTTCTTTTCTGTAACTTCTTTTATATTCACTGTATTACTTACTAGTGCATCTTTTCTTTATTTCTAGTATGTTCATTACTTCTCTTACATTAAGCATCAACTCTTTATATTAGGAAACTTCTTTTTAAAGACTTCTTTGTATACTGATTTTCTATTTATATAAACTTAACTATAAGGTTTTATGTACATTCATATGCTTTTGTAGATTACAGAGTTTTTTTGCCTTTAGCTAAAATTGAACTGTTGCCTTGTCTGTAAAAGAAAAAATGCCTAAACCACTAAGCTACAAGATCTTATCTTTTTTTTTTATAAATATGTTTTATAAATTCTTAAATGTTAAATATATTTATTTAATTACAAATTAATATGTAAAATTTTATATAATTACATTTTAGTTCAAATGTATTAAGTTAGTATATCATACTTAATAAAACTAATATTAAATTGTTTTAAAAAAATTTAAAGTAAAAATATCTCAACAATCATTTAATTAAATTCAATAAATTTTTTTTATTTGAATTTTCTAAACTCAGAACCAACATCTAATTTAATCAAATAATTATCAAAATATCTTCACTCAAAGTCTGTTTGATTAAAAAAATATAAATAATAAATTTAAAAAATATAAAACATAACCCCTATTATGTAAATTAGAAACCCGAAACCGGTATAAGTTCGGAGCTCGTTCCAGCTCCTGAAAAGTCTTGTTATCGTTATGTATGTCAGGTCAAATTTTTCGGGGGCGTTACATCCAAAACTACACTTTTGATATTTTACTATAAATGTATCAAAAACGTAGTTTTGGTCATCAAAGGGCGCAGAAGTATGAGTCTATTGCTTCGCTCCAGACAAAAATTTTACGAAAAAATCCAAATCCTTTTTGTTAGAATCCTAAATAGTTTTATTAATAAAATCTTGAAAATAACAATATCTGTGTACATATATATAGTGTACAAATAGAAAATTTCTTATTTAAAACATGTAATATTTATAATATAAATTATGTTTTATAATCCGAGTCATAGCAATAATCATGACCCGATTGATAAATCTTATACGGGTTACCCGGGTGATTCTTATACGGGTACAATCTCTACTTACGGGCGACTGAATCATATAGGTATAATGCTAAATCAAATATAATGCAAAATCCCGCAAAGTTCTGTGATGCATAGATAGGTCGCGGAATACTTGCTATAATGAAAAAAGTTGTGCTCTATAGTTAAGTCAAATTCTTAAACAAGAGATTGAAATATTCTATTAAAAAAAAACTTTTCTTACCATGGTAAAAGCCCTTTTTTTTATTTTTTATTTATTTTGAAGCACCTACTTTTTCAGAGGCGGCCATAACTCTTTGTCTAAACTTCTCAGGATCATTCATTGAATGAGCCAGATCCCGGAGATCATACGAGTCCAGAAGGCTAATGGTAACCTTACTAGCAATACCACTTTTAAGATTGAATACTTTGACTTTTGGAAATAGGCGAGCACCCAACCTTTGCTTTTGTTCGTGGATAGGTTTGCTTTTAATGCTATCCATAAACTGTTCAGTCTCTTCGTATGCAGAGTCACGAACATAATTAGATTGATCTACAAGTTGTGTTGAAATAGGTACGGATTTGGGTACAGAAGAGCCAATCGGCGTTTTAGAAGAAGATGCTTGGACATCTTCATCACAATTAACCGCTTCCAATGCTTGATTAGCTTCCAAAATTTTTTTTGTAAGATAATCAGAATTGAAATAGCATAATGACCTTTCTTTTTGACTCAATGACATGATAAGTTCGAGGATTTCATCATTATTACGACTACAGAGCTTCTTGATAGCCTTGAGAAACTTTTCACGTTGTGGTACTTGTGATGTTGGACCTTGGACATTGTGAACGTTACTGTTTGTAGTAATAACAGCTGTAACAGAAGGTGCTTCTTCAGAACTGCGACGCTTTTTCTCATTAAAAAGATGATGCCTTGCTTCTGTAATCTAAGATCAAACTTAATTGTACGATAGTAAAACGACAACTAAATATACGATAAGTTATAATATACAAACCTTTTGTGACAAAGAATTAGCATCTTTGAGAATGTGAAGGACTTCAGGTGTTTTCATATTCAACAAATGATCAATGATTGGGTTAACTTCTTCTTGAGGGATACTGGGAATATACTTGAAGCGTTTCTGTAGTTCTGACATCAAAACCTCCCTTCGGGCCTTCGGCGCCAAACCAGAGAGATCTTCCTGCCCAAATTCGTTAGCGGAATTAATGACAAAATGGTCCGAATTACGCCTGGAAGGAGCACGACTTTCAGATGGAGAGGTAGGGCTACAGTTAAATTGGTTAGCCAATTTAGCTTCACGCAATTTTTTGGGCTCGTGGAGCCTCACAACAATTTGTTTTGTTCCGAGCGTCTTGCCATGCATAGTTGATTTGGCCCTATCTGCTTCTTCAGACGAAGTATAACTGACGAACCCAAATCCTTTTGAATTATTAGTCTCTTGATCCCTCATGACACGAGCACTGATAATGCGGCCAAATCGACGAAAATGATTGAAAAGGTCACTGCTGGAAATATTAGCGTCAAGATTCTTGATAAACAAATTGCATGGATCCACAAAAGGGCCTTCGGGACCCGGAGACGCAGGAGATTGTTGGCCATTGTAATTTCCCGGTGGAGAAAATTGTTGACCCTAACCAAATTGAAAGTTTAAATCATATAATACTTACTAACGCATAATTTTCTGTTAAAATACATACAATTCCGGACAAATTAGGATTCGTAACATTCGTGCGGATACTCGCAGGTTTGCTAGGGCGGGAGTTATTATTATTAATATTAAGTTGTGATACAACACTAGTAATTGTTAATGAAAAAGATGAAAGTTAATAAATATCATACTATCAAAAATGAAAAATAAAATAATTTTGCCAAGAGGAACTTACATAGTTTTTCCTTCCATCTGATGACAGTGCTAATCAGTAAAACCAAATCGATTAGATATTAGTATGGCCAAAATTATTATATACATGCACATATACATATATATGTATGAACACATGTAATGTATATGTGTATGTGTATGTATATGTGTATGTATGTATGTGTGTGTATATACATTACCATAGAAGTTAAAGCTTTATTAGCATCATCTTGCTTGAAAAATTGTACCATGGCATATCCCTTAAACTTATGTTCCTGATATTGTAGCCTGGCGGAAAACAAGGGCCCAAATTGCCGAAAGAGATTGAAGAGAGTAACGTTTGTAGTGCTTAGCGGCAAATGCTTAACTTGCAGGATAAACGCTTCGCTTTGCGGCTCGTTACCAGGATTAGTGGGATCAGTAATGTGTAATTTTATATACGATTTATATGCTTCTAATTTCTTATTGTTGTAGATAGCGAACGCCTTTTCCGCTGAGTGACAATGATAGTAAGGCAGAAAAGAATGGACAACCAATGATTAGATATAATATTTAAAATCCTCAAATCAGATTAATCCTAATCATGACATGAGAGAGAATACCGTTTTCTATCGATGAAAAATGAATGGTGCCATTTACAGGCGCATTGCTTCCAGGCTGACGATGGATTTCAACCCTATTTTGATAACATAAAATGCGTTGAGCTCACAGAAACTTCATTTTTAAGTTTAAATAGTTTAAATAAGGTCCCAACCTCACTGGATCGACATCCGCAAATATCTTTTTCAGTTCGTCTTCAACGATACTGTGTTGTAACTCGCTTACGTAGAGTATAGGTTGTCTTAAAAACGAGTCCGACGGGGCGTCAGCTTGGATTGTTTGCATCTTATGGTGTGTTGGTACCTTAAAGATAGTTTCTGTTGTCATTCCCAACTAGTAGCTATATACTAAATCATAAATTTTCTGATATCCGTATATTCTTGTTTCTTTAGTTATTATTAAGCATATTCGAAAGTTACAGTTTTAATTGTTTCTACACTTAGGGGTACCATATATATAATGATTTGTACAGAAATATACCAAAATCTAGAAATACATGGATAGGTGAAATGTCAGCAGTGTAACCTTTAAACAGGTTTGTGATTCTTGCATGAAAGCTATGGCTAAAACCTTACTAAAAAAAAAAAAAGTTCAACGGGCTCTTGCATGATAGTACGTTGTACGACCTTGTCGTACCTGAATTAGCGTCCGCAGTTTGAACGAGAACACAAAGAAAAAATGGTTGGTCATGAGTATTGTCCGTTAATCTTATTGACGGATTTTCACAATGTTTGGAAGAAAATGAGTCCATTCATGGTAGTTTCTTGTATCAGATCCGGAATTTGTAGAATTTTGACAACAATCAAAAGATCTAAGTGTAAATTTGTGTTTTGCATAAAAGCTATACGAATATCTTTTCATTGTTACTAAAACTTTTAAGGCATATAATCATTAATATATACAGTATATATACAGTTTATAACAATTAATAAAAAATTTTCTTCCTATAAGTTACAGATAAGAGGTGAGTTATCATAAAATTTTTAGATAAAACTTATTGATAATATTTTAGTAAATACTGGGAATATTTCAGTACAATTATCATAAAACGCACCTACGTATGGTGTTTTTCACCTATTATACTGTACGTTTTTTTCAAATCTTTCTAAGTTTTGTGTATAAAATTTTTAACACATTAGGATTAGTACTTAGAATTAGGGTTTGGCAAAGGGCGTAGAGCATTTTTACTTAGAAAACCTCACACTGATTGATTAGCCAGTTTTTAAAATAATACATCGATAGGTGTAAAATACCATAAGTGCATTTTAGTAACGGTAATATGTATCCTTTTAATAAATAATTATCGTATAATTTATAGGGAAATTTGTGAGCCTCGTGTTTTATAATATGGGCCGGATTTGGGTTCGGCCTGCAAACTACTAGGTTAGTATGAGAAAAATTAATAGCGATGTAATTTTAACGTTGATTGGTTAGATTTGTAGATCGTCACGCGGTTCAAGTAGAATCTCAAGTTATCCATTTACAGATTTAGACATTTAATAATTGTTTGGCACGTGAGGGCCTATATAAATCTGATAATCTAAAGTGATCTTTTTTCATCAGAAATGGATAACTCGCTTCCCAGCCTACAGGAAACAATAGCTTTAAGAGATTCACTAACAACTAATCTTGTTCAGACTTCAGAGGACCAAACAAACACTTGCTTGGTTTCACTCGTTTCAGCATCCATTACGACACAACCTGAGGGAACAAACGATAATAGCACGAACAAAAAGCAAGGTTACTTAAGCCATGGCTCTACATTTACAAGCCATACCGATTTTGTAATAGCAGTCCAGGAATATGCCATACGGGAAGGTTTTACCATGAGACTCCATAAATTAAAAAGGAATAAAGCTGGTGCCGTACGATGGAGAGAAATAGTTTGTTCGCGTAATGGAACTTCAAGTAAAAAAAAGGAAAGTGGTGATAAACCAACGCGTAATCGTCAATCTCAACGATGTAAATGCCCATTTTTAGTTCGTGCCTCTTTGAATGGTAGATCAGGATTATGGGAGATTATTTCAACAAAGTTAGAACATAATCATGATATCGGAAACACAGCAAGGTCAAATGGGACAAATCAGGGTTATGTGAAAAGCTAGATGCATGATGTGATGCCTTCTACGTTTAATGGTCGAGCGCTATAATTATACGTTCGTATTGACTTTATGAAATACGGAGCACAATTACAGTTAGTTTAATCTATACAATTCGAAATTCACAGTATTATACAAAACTGAAAATGTGCATTAGATTCTGAAGAATCTCTAATCCAGTAAAAGTCTATTCATTGAAAATAATGTAGCGAGGACATTAGTTGTAAATCCAAAATTCTACTCGTATAAGAATTGATAAATATAGTGATTTGAAACATATATCTGATATTTAGTTTCAAGTTGCCTTGTGTAAACTTTCAAGTTTAAATACAGTAATTATTGATTTCTAAAATTGGTGTAAATTTAATCAGCATCTTACTTCAAATATAAAAATCTTGATAGGATAATATTACCATGCTCCTGTCCCAGCCCAAGCGATCCCACGTGACTTTTACATCTCGAAGAGTTTTGCTCTTTATTCTATTCAAATCTTCATTTGATCCATCCCTAATCTTTTGTGGCAATCTTGAAATTTCTTTACAATTCTTGAGCAAAATCAACGTAGGAAGATCCAAACTCGTTGGAGATAACGAAATATTATATTCTTCAGCTAGCGTAGGATATTGCTCCAAGTCAACTTTGCCAAAACGAACTTCTGGAGTCGTATATCTTTTAACGATTAAAGATTAATTATTTTGATTATTTTTTAAATACCAAAAAATCAACCTACATTAACGAAGTTTTTGCCACGGTGGACTCGAAATTTCTGCATGCATTACTCCATGGAACGTAAAAGAAAATCACCCAATATTGGTCATTGTCAGCTTTTTCTTTTCTTTTATCTTTCTTATCGTGAGCTATTTCGGTAATTTCAGAGACCTGATAATTGTTATGTTGGATATCGCGCAAATCTTCAGCTGTTAATTGTACTATCGCTGAACGGCCTTGGTACGTTGGTTGAGGTAAAGCAGTGAATAGTACTAAATATATTTTAAAACCATTTTTAATCAGCAACAAAGTAAAGCACGCCAAAGTAAAAAATGTACATACCAAACCATATTATAGCATATAGGATTGACCACCTTGTTTTATCGAACAAATAAAACATAATCACATTCAACAATTTTCCATACAAGAAGGTTATTGATAAGAACTCTTCGGCACTGCCAGAAGATTTAAATTTTAATATAATCATGAATAAAACAAAATTGTATATATATATTTCATATGATGGCTTTAAAGACGAATCTAGATAACGAAAAAAAACATATCGAACAACAAAAAAGGGTAAAACATAGAAGAAATTAACAATATAATGAGGTAAGAAAAGACGCTGATAAAGCTCTGATATAGATGTCATCGTAAGTGTGGGTGAGTTTCGTTTTAATTAATTGAGAATGGCAGCGAATTTTTAACCATGCATCTGCGTCACTCAAGTGTTGCACAGTGATCTCTCGCATTCTTGATCAGGGGTGACTTACTAATTTTCCCACGCATTTTAAAACCCTCCTTTATACTCAATTACGACTAAATAAATAGCCGTCGTTTATTTATCAAAAGATGGCCTTGGTTTTTGGTACATAAAGTGAAATTTCCGAGATATTCCACAAGTACCGATCCTTCATTCTTTCTTCGTATTATATATATTCTTTCCAAGTACATTTGTTAATTATTTCTCCAAAGTGCCCAATTTTCGGAGTTTTCTTAATAAAGTTTATATCGTTGACCAGTAATACACTTAGATCTAGCAGTAGCATGAACTGTTCTTGGGAACAAATACGAAGGGAAATCAGAGCTTATCGTAGTTCTGTTAACCCTTCCAACATCGCAAATGTTAAAGATTTCTGCTTTGATGAGAGAAATAACCGCGCTTATTTCCTGGCAACCGATCCTTCGCGAATGAAAACTTCTACTTTATTTATGGTTGACTTACCACCTTTAAAATGTAAAAAAGAAAAGACCGAATTAGCTAATAAATTTCGAGATCAAAGTGAGTCTACATTCAGCTTTACTAATAACCAATTCTATGCGAAAGGTAAGCCCTTATACCAAGAATGGCTTAGCATTTGTTGGTTAATTGCGTTGATTAGATGATTACAAAGATATTTTCAAGAATGCAGTTAAAGAAACCTACGTTCATTAATAATAGCTAATTTCACGACTTCCTCTTTAATCTGATTCAATAATTATTATTCTTTTAATAATATATTCTCAAATGGGACTTTTTATCGCAAATTAGTGCCGTTGTGACTGATTAATATTCATCTTTTATAGAATTTTCTTTTACTTTTTGTTCATCGATATCGCATGATGCATCTGAATCTATCAAACCATCGAGTTTGGATAATTTCTCTTTCATAGATTTGTCATCTGTGAATAATAAAACGCAATTTAAATCACAACAATCAAGTGCATTGCCAAAAATACCTACTGTGGAATGGAAACCATTACTTCCAGAATCATGTCTAAAAGAAAAACATTTCTCAGAGACATTATCACGGGAAGAAATGTTTGTAAAGGAGCGAAGGAGGTTAGCTTTACAAGGAATTACTAGTTATCAATTTGACTCTCGAAGTAGTCAGATATTATTCAACTACGGGAGCGGGATTTACTTGGGACATGTTAGCAAGGTGAATTGTCGAGAAGATATATTTCATAAATCAGATATTATTTGATCCGTATTATTAATAGATATTAATTTATAGAACGTTGACTTTTATCCACGCCCAATAATACCTTATTCATCAAACTCTGTAACATGTTCTGGAGGCATAATGAATTTTTCACTCGCCCAATCGCCACAAAATAATCGCATATCACCACTTTCTTCCCCTTCGATTAATAGCTCTTCTCCTTCATCACCTTGTTGTCCTTCATTAAATAATACATTACCACCACGACTAGATCCAAAGTTGGGTGGTCGTAACTGCGACCTTGTCGCTTTTATCCGTGATAGAGATATTTGGGTAACGACTTTAAACGGGTTGGAAACTCAATTGACGTTTTGCAATGAGCATGATCCTGATGGATCTTCTGCCTTAAGTTGCGGTGTCGCTGAGTTTGTAATGCAGGTAAGAAGGCTAGTGTACAATTCCATATAATGTGACAATAACAGCTGTAAGTTCACTGTAATCATTAATGCATGTATCCATCAAAGGAAGAATTTCACCGCTTTACAGGCTATTATTGGGCACCTTCTTCAGCATCAACATGCATGGAGGAACTTGTCGAACGAATATTATATTTACAGATTTCAGAATCTATGGTAGATTTGGTTTTGATACCCAGACCAGGTCAACAAGGAGAAGCAGAAGAGTATCGCTATCCAAAAGCTGGTGAGTTAAAGATTTGGTATGCTAATGTTGTGACTAATTTCTGCGATAACGATCTATTAGTTACTAAATATGTGTATGCTTTTTTTCGTTTATGTAGGTACGCCAAATGCTGTTAGTGATTTACAGATCGTTGAGTTCATTCCACGTTACAACGAAGATGAGGTAAATTTATTTACATATATCATTTATTACTTTTTTTTTTTTTTTTTTTTTAAGACTAGTTAAGTAATTCACACAACAGATTTATAAAAGGAAGTAACAACCAGTCCTGTACACAAAAGGCTTTGGGGTCCTGCAGCATTGGATAAACTCTTCCCGTGGAAAGAGTACATTGTTCGGTTTGGCTGGTGCCCAAACGGCAAAAGGTAACACATTTTTTCTATTCATTTACCTGATTTTAATTCGTATTATATCATATTTACGTTTTTTATAGTGTTTGGGTTCAACTCCTTGATCGTCTACAACGAAGAACAGCTATTATTAAAATCCCAATTGCAAACTTTATGAGCCTATCAGAATATCAGAAAAGTGGTGGTGAACTAGATAATCTTTGTGCGTCACGAATAGAGGTTGTTTTTGAAGAAACAAGTGACATTTGGATTAATGTAGGTAATTTAACTTTATTTCATCAAATTATTATAATATTATATTAACATTTTTGATCGGTTATTTCGGGTGCATGGATTTATTGTTGATATTCTACTAAATCGGATTATGTATGCTATATAACAGATAACAGATATTTGTTATTTTTTTAATGATGAGATTATTTCAACAAAGAATACAGATACGAATACATCCTCGCCTTGCACGATACAACCTCGGTTACCTCCCACTAAGCTTATTATCACTTCTGAGAGTACTGGATTTCGTCATCTTTACCTCGTGACCAAACCTTCTGCTGAATCGCTGCACTACCACGTTAGACCTATTACTGCTGGAGATTGGCCTATCGTAGATAGACCAATATATGTTGATGCCAAAAGGGAACTTGTCTATTTTACTGCCAAAAAGGATACTCCACTGGAGGCTCATATATATGTAGCTAGTTGTGCTGAAACTGCAGATCCTTACTCAGTGATACGGCTCTCAGAACTAGGCTATAGCCATTTTGTGGTGATGGACGAAAACTGTGAGAGATATCTAGATTGGTTTTCCAATATAAAGGAAAAACCAAAATGCGGGGTTCGATATTTCGAATGGGATGAAGGACAAATATTTCCCAAAGTAAGTGAAACATTAGGAATCTTTGTGAAAGGCGGAAATGAAGAGGAAGTAAGGAGCAATGAAGATAAACGACAAAATGAACGAATTCCTATAGGTGAATTTTTTAATTTTAAAAATAGCGATGGAGTAACAATTTATGGATGTTTATACCGGCCGACAAATTATATTCAAGGGAAGAAATATCCCACTCTTTTAAGCATATACGGTGGACCTAAGTCTCAGGTGTGATTATTTATATCTCGTTTATGTATATTTGTTTTATAATGTACTATCAATAACTTAAGATTCAATATTATTACTACAGATGGTAACGAATGATTATAAATACCCACGACTTCTTCGATTATTTCTTGCAGCTCATCTTGGTTTTTCTGTTGTTTTGATTGATGGCCGTGGGTCCTCAGATCGGGGCCTAGCATTTGAATCCTATCTTAAGGGTCGTATGGGCACTGTTGAATTAGATGATCAAATTGCTGGGTTAGAATATTTATCTTCAATGAATATGGGTATTGATTTGGAAAGAGTTGCTATCACTGGCTGGAGCTATGGTGGATATTTAAGTTTAATGGCGCTCGCACAACATCCGCAGATTTTCAAATTGGCCATTGCGGGGGCGCCAGTGACGCAATGGGAACTTTACGATACTGCTTACACTGAACGTTATATGGGATTTCCAGAAGAAAATGTTGAAGGTTATCACAACGGGAATGTATTAACATGGGCAGAAAAATTTCCTGACGGGTTAGTATTCTATTATTTATGCCAAGTAGCTTATAACCAGAATATTATTTACATCTTCGTAAGTTAGATGATAATTTTCTTTTTAATTGTTCCTTGACTTTAGGGAGAATCGTCTTCTCATTGTTCATGGACAAATTGACGAAAATGTACATTTTAAGAATTCCGAATTATTAGTTTCATCTCTTGTGAAATTTAATAAGCCGCATGTCTTACAACCATACCCAACGGAAAGACATGGATTAAGACATGCGAATGTAGCAGAACACTTTGAAACATTAATGTTTTTTTGGTTGGTTAATTACCTGTGACTTTTCTTGAATGTTATGTCTATTTAATTTTAGATTCGAAAATCTACATTAGAAATTGTTAAGTGTCATTAAGAGATCCAACAACTGAACATTATATTAAAAGAACCATTCCTTAAAGGAACATTGTTATTTATATTATGAATGTTAAAAATTGTATTTATACTTTTGAATGTATTTTATTAAATAATTATTGCTGTATTTAAAATTGACATTTTTATAAGCATCTTAACAATTATTGTTCGGACCCTTATAAATATTGTTTTTTGATTTCATGAATTTATGTCGTATATCGTTCTTTGTACCAAAGACTTGAAATGTGATGTATCGCGATATTATTTGCATTATATTAGAATTTGGATGGTTTTTTTTAATATTCTATTATCAAATGAGTTGGTGCATTGCATTATTAACCTAAGCTTTTATATATTTTTGAACGTATAATTCTGAAATATCGATATGTAATATCGGTCAACAGATATGTACCTGATTTTCATGTCTAGTAAATTGCATAGCATTTTTCGTAATTTTTATATGAAAAAAGGCTGTCAAAGTACTTCTTTTCTAATATTTCATCTTTCTTCTGAAGTAAATCAAATGATTAATTAATATGGAATAAGTTCAGCTTCACTACCTTTCATGGATACAATGTTTATATACATATATGCATTTGCTTTATTTTTATAGCACGAATTATCGTTACGTATGCTGCAAATTATTCGTATCAAATAAATTATGCGAGAGGTTGTGACTACATAGAGTTTCATTTTTTATATCTTAAATGTAGTGGTGATGTAGATCATTTTTAATAGTAATTATATAGCAAATCATATGATATTATATGGACTAGGTGCTGGAAAAAGGGATCAAATTAACAATTTTTTTAAAATGAATTTTTTAAGTTTAACTAATTTAAAATTAGTTTAGAAACATTTATTATTTAAGAAACATTATTACATTAATTTTTTTTTTTTTGTTTTTTTACTAGTCTTTTGGGAACTAGAGCTTTTTTATTCAGTATTGTAGGACACAGTAACTCACAGTCCGATTACCTCAGAGGAGTTATCTTACATTAGAGAGTACATCTAGCTACATGTACACTTTTGGTATCTAATTTAAGTAGTCTGCCTATATATAGGTTCTACACTAGCTGTCATATCTGCAACCCAACTACAGGTGTTGTCTATTTAAACTTTCTGTACTGCAATTCTTACTGTTATCACTAGAACATCTTCATTACATAATGTTAGTCAAGAAGTTCTAGATGCTTACTCATATTCTTAGAACTCCTGTTTTATTTCATGCAGATTATTCTCAAGACATTATTACTAGAGTCTTCTGTATCTCAAATTATAGCTAAACCTAGTTTACAACCCTTGCAAAGTTCATACAACCTCAGTATCTATCTTTTACAACCTTATCGTTACCTCATCTATCCTTGCAAGTTCTTCTATACTACTAATCCAGTTAGCTTTACATGATGTGACTTCATATTCAGATCAACTGATAGTTAGGTTGGTGAACCCTTTATCTAAAGGTTCTTGCCTGTATAGGTCATCTGCCTCAGGTTTTCTTTAGCAGATCAAGATCTTCACAGATGGCACTGTTAAAAGTTGTATTACCTCTCTGCTCAGGATTTCCAAGCAGGTTTCTAATCTGAATATATACTTTTTAAATTTATTTATGTGATATTGTATACTTTCAAAGTTAGTCTTGGTATAACCAGAATTACAGGATTGAATAATCACCTATATAATATCTGTATTATGACAATTGTTATTAATGATTAGATTAGAATATCTGTAATGATAGTCATACTAGTATGACTGGCAGGTCATAGAGCATCTGTACAATATTGGAGTTATATAGAGAAATGCAAACTGATAACTGGTTGATCAAATACTAAATAAGTTTTTGTGATTATGTAAATTCATTAAAATTAGATAACAAGAAGTTTATTTGAGAAAACCCAAGCAAAAAAGTAGTTGAATTTTTAATAATGTTACTATAAAGACTAGTTTTGAAAAACAGATATTAAGATTTTAGTAACTGAATAGACAAAAACTTTTGGGTTGAGAGTCTTGAAAATTCTACCAACCAGATCATCAAAACAAATCAGAGAAAAAAGATATTGGGCTGATTTAATATATTGGTAAATTGATTATAATCTTATACAAGTTATTTGAATGAGAAGTTTAATGAAATTAAAGAGTATACTAAAATACTGAAATTATGTTATGAAATAGATACTAAGGTTTGAGTGAATTCTACAAAGACATAATAGTTTAAAACTTAAGCTCTGATTATAAATATTAGTTCTGTTATAGCAATATCTAGGTTAGTTGTAAAAATAGATACAAAAGACTCTAAAAGATTTACTTTAAGGATAAAATAGTTTTAAGATTAAGATGATAATTTGAACATCTGAATATGACCCAATAAGTTAATACAGATTATAGATTTAGAAAGTTTAAAGTAAAACACTCAAGCAGAAGTATTAGGTATAGCAATTGATAAAGAACCTTTAGGTAAACTCTTTAAATAAGTAATATAGAAAAGTTACATGTATAGCCAATTGTATATTCTTCTGTAGTAGTTCATAGAATTACATTACTAAAAGTTATTAATAAAAATTAAAACCCAAAAAGGTTACCTTAACATCAAAAAAAAATAAAAATTAAATTTTTTATAAAATCTATTTTTTATCAATTTGGTCTTTTTTTCTAGCATCTAGCCTATATGAATTATATATAAAATTTTATTTATATTATATAAATTTTCTATATAAATTTTGTGTAATCTAAGAATTACATAAGCTGATCTAGGAAAACTTAGTAATATATAAAGCAATTTTTTTTAAATAAAATAAATTATAAAATTTTATCAAAATAATTAAAAGTTTTAGATTTATATATTATAAAATTTTAGTAACAATTGAATATTAAAACCTTATAGAACTCTTTTCCAAAAATTACAAAAAATATAAAAAAAATAAACAAAAGAAAAATTGAGCAAACTTAAATAAATAAATTACTAGAACGATAAAGAAAACAACAAAACCAGACTGCAGCACTACTAGACAGACAAGATAAAGCACAAAAGAAATACAATAACAACTAAAAACACAACAGCTAAGCAATAGGCTTTTGGGCCAACATACAAATTTACATTTGAGGTAGCAAAACAAATTCAAATAGAAAGCTATAATACTAGAAGTAAGGTCAGTAGCAACAACAGGAAAACAAATATAAAAGAAAACAAAACAGAAATAGATAGTATAGCTTCAAAGGCAAAAAAACTCTGCACCAACTCTGCTCTACTATACAAAAGGCCAAAAAGTGGCAAAACTAGAATACCTCTGATAAAATCAAAAATGACATCATTGCCAGAGTACAACAACAAAACAAAACCAGATCAAATAGGTTTCAACAACAAGATGCCAGAAATAGAAATGGACAACAACAACTCATCTAAAATAGGCAACAATTTGCAACAGAACATGACAACACAACAAACTAGCAGCATAAACATAGCATCCAATCAGAATAGCTTAGTGAACTTACAACAAGAAACACAAGACCACAACAACAAAGTACAACTAACAGAAAACCAAAATACAGCACCATTAGCAAACAGTGACAATATGGAAATAGAAATCAACAGTAAT